GCCGCCAAAGAGGAGGACGCGCCTGGGGAGGTTCCGAGAAGCTTCGCGGACGGGAGGGGGAGGGGGCAGGGCAGGGAGGAGGAGGGACGCGGCAGGGAAGCGGCGAGGCGAGGGGGCGGCTGCGCGCGCCCGGCGGCGCAGGCGGCGGAGTGGTAGCAGCGCGGAGAGGGGACTGCTGCCGCGCCGCCGCCCGTGCGCACCCTGCTCCACGTGGGCGTGGCGACCTACGGGGTCGCGTTCCCGACGCGTCGTGCGCCGAGCCGCAGTCCCGCTCCTCCCACCGCCCACGCCTCTGCCGCACCGACAGGAGCCACAGGTCGTCCAGCACGGCGCCGCCCTCGCCGCAGCCGCCGTGGACTAGCAGCCGGGGCGGGGCACTCACGAGCGCCGCCGCGTGCGCGCCGCGCGCCGGCGGCGGCTCGCCGCGGCTCTCGACGCACACCCAGGCCTGGTCCTCGCCGCGAAACTGCCAGACGTCGTTGAGGTACGAGACAGGGTTGCCTTCGTCCGCCGCCGCGCCGCTGCTGGCGCGCGAGCGGCGGCGCGGCCGCTTTGGAGGCGCCGTCGCGCCTCCAAACACGAGGAAGGCGCGCGAGTCGATGGCGGTGGCGGTGTGGAAGGCACGCCGCTGCGGCCACGAGGCGGAAGCGCCGCGAAGGAGCCGGCGCCACGTCATGGCGCCGTCCGTCGCGTCGAGCACGTGCAGATCGTCGAGATACTCGTCCGCGCTGCCCGCGCCTAATCGCGGGGAGGGATGACCGGTCGGCGCGGCGCGGGGCACGCGGGTGTGGCGCTGGCCGTCGCACCGCCGCTGCCGAGGCGCGCAGCGGCATCAATGCCACCAAACACGTAGAGCAGCGCGCGGTCGCGCGTCCTGAGCGCGGCGCAGGCCAGGCCGTGGCGCATCGTGGGCGGGACGCCGCCGGCCTCGAGCCTTTCCCAGCCAGCCTCCGCCTCGCTAGCGACCATTGCTGTAGAAAAAGAATCCTTATGATAGAAGCCTCTCTCACAGCACACTGGCACGACAAGGGCGCGGACTGGCGCGGAGAAAAAGAATGCGAAGGAAAAATGAAAAATCTCCAGCACTTTGCGTTTCCGGAAGTTTCCAGGGAAAACAGAGGGTGTTTGGTGCTCCATTCGGTTTCTCTCGAGTTTCCCTCGGGAAACTCGCGAGTTTCCCTGAGTCTGAGAGCTGGTCTGGGGCAAAATCTGAGGCAAAATTGAGGAAATCGGCAAACTACCCGGGTCTTTTCCAGGTATGTACCATGAAAAAGTTATATGTACCATGAAAAAGTTAGTATACCCGCAAAATACCGGTATTTTGCCGATCTTGCTGATTTTGGCCCCAAAACAGCCTCAGACTCAGCTCAGAGCCCCCAAAATGACGATTTTAACGGAGTTTTCCCCCCGTGTTGCCAAAGGCGCAGAAAGCCGCGAGTCAACAACACAGTCCTCCATGCACATGTACATGTACATGTTGTATGTTGTTGTTGTTGTATGTTGTTGTTGTCACCCCAATGTCGCACACAGAAAGAAAGAAAGAAAGCACTACCGAACGCCAGCGCAGCCAGCCCGAAATGCGCCTCCCATCGCGCTGGCGCTGGCGCTCGGATCGCCTCAGAACACCTCCGTCCGTCCGGGACAGAGCTTCGCATTGCACACGCGAGACCTTCATGCGATTTTCGTTCCCCATGCGCCCCCCCCCCCCCCCCCCTGCGACCAACCCTGGCTGGGGGGTTCGAGATGGCCCCCACCCTGGGGCCTCCCATCAAAGGGACTGCTGCAGAAGACGCCCAATCTTGCACAAGTGTTAGAAGCATACGGTGCGGAGGCTCCGAGGAGCCCTCGGCCCCTCGCCTGGCTGCCGGGGTCTAGAGTAAAGGTCGTGCCTTAGGTGTGCGCAAAAAGCAGGACACGAGTGGTGAGCACACACACACACGCAGGACCCTCGTCGCGACGAAAGGAGAAGAGAAAACGAGCTCGCGTGACACGATTGAGAGAAGAAACTCAGCCGCCTTAATCGCCACGATGGCTGAGGAAAGGAGGTGAGTTCGGGCCGGCCCTCGTGTCTGCCGCCACGCTTTCCAAGTGCTCTCCTCTTCGGCTGGCAGACCCGGCGGATGCCCCGAGGCCCTGGGTTGTGGAATCCTTGTTTCGGACTTGTCACATGACACGTTCCCCGGGACCAACCCAAGATGCAAAAAATATTCCAAAGCCATCAGGGTGGGTGACACCCTTCTTGCTCCTCAAGCGCCTCTTCCCGCCGATGGTCGTCGCCGCGCCAGCACTGTCCACGGCCGCCAAGCGTGTGCTCGTCCTCGGCTGGTTCGGGAGCACGCCAAGCGCTATGAGGCCGATTGCCGACATGTGCGCCGGCGCACAGGGCCCCGAACCCGTAGCATCTTGCGTATCCAACCGCTCGGCGACCGCCTCCCGCAGGTACTCGCAGCTCGGCTATGAGCCCACGCTGCTACCGTGCGAGCGCAAGGACGCGCTGCGCTCGATGTGGTACCCGTCCTGGCGAAAGATGATCAAGGAGGGTCCGCCGGCAGAGGTGCTCGAGAGCGGTGAGTTCGATCGCGTGCACCTCTTCAGCGGCGCGGTATTCAAGTACTACTGCTGGATGAAGGGCGGCAAGGGCGAGAGCCTTGGCCACTCGGAGATCGTCTTCGACTCGACTCCCTTCCTGCCGACGCCCGGCCAACTCTGGTCGTTTACGGGCGGCATCGCCGGGTCGTCGCCGACGGCGCAGCGGCTCCTGCGCATGCCCGGGTCGCGCCGGGTGTTCGAGACCGGGATCAACCTCGCGTGGAAGTCGACCGGGTACCGCTACAAGAAGCGGCTCGCCGAGTTCGAGGATGAGCTCGACTGCGGCAGGAGGAAGCTCGTCCTGCTCGGCGGCGCAGACTCGATGGTCGACCCAGAGGTGGTCGAGCGGCAGGTGGGTCGGTGGAGGGCCTCGGGGACGGATGTCGCGCTCCACCGCTTCGACGGCGTCGGCCACGTCCTCGCGCACCGCCGGCGGCCGAAGCCATACTTGTCTGCGCTCGCCGGCGAGGCGGCGGCGGAGGAGGCTGCCGCTCCGGCGGCGGCGAAGCAGGCAGCCCGAGCCAAGCACGCGGTGCTGCAGCCGTACCCCGGGGACGTTGGCTTCATCCCCCAAGCTTTGCCCAGCCCTGCCTTCCCTTGACCGCTCGCCTCGGCTCGGCTCGGACCGGGCGCCTCCATCTCTCCCCTCCACCCCTCTCTGTGTCTCTGCGCGCCCCTCACCTCATCCCCTTCCCTCCCCCCTCCTCTCCCCACGCATGCACGGTGCACCTGGAGGAGCGTGACGGCTACCAATCGCGCCGTGAGGCGCGAGTCGCGAGAGAGGGCGAGAAAGCCTTGGCGAGCTGACTGTAGAGTTGACCCAAGCCTCGGCCCACTCGCAAGGGATGTGGTTTTTTGGCTTCAGTGTGTGTAAGTGCGCGGGTATTAGCGATTCCTCTAGTTGTGCAAGTTGTGTGTAATATTCTTTCTACGATTGTGTGAGCAGACTCTCTCATCGCCTGCTGAAAGAACCCATACCGCTGGCGCCTCCGTTCATCAGACCGCGCGTGCTGCCCGCTTGCCCGGTGCAAGCTCGCGGATGCGCCCCTCCCCCTGCGCGGTCAAACGCGGGAGATCCGCCCTTGGAACCGCCTCCGCTCCGGGCTCCCACCGGAGAGGCCTGCAGAGTCAGTGCGTCCCAGGGCTGGGAAACCTCGTTGAGTGAGCGGGCTCGCGCCTAAAGAGAGGCGAGCACACAGTGCGTGAGCGGGGCGAAAAGTCGAAAAGTGTGCCACCAGGAGAAAGGAGCTGGGCGGCTCACGTCGTACTCGACCTGCTGCGCGCGGTTCTCGGTGTCTGATCCGCAGCGGTCCGCAGCGAACGCGCGCCACCACGCTTTCGCCACCGAGTCGAGCCCAGCGTCAGTGTATTGATACTGCCATCGGGGGAGGCCCCGGTGAAGGACCATCAGCCGGAAGTAGTCGACAAAGGAGCTGGCGATGAAGGACCAGCTGCAAGAGGCGTCCTGGAACCAGACCTGCGCGCGACCCTCTCCTCCGGCGTAGAGCAAGCACACGCGGCCCGATGAGGTGCTTGCGTCGAGCTCCACAGCCCGGAGTTGCGCCTCTGACGGCAGCTCTGGCCGCCTGCCGCGAGCAGTCGGGCGACGGGTCGGCTGCCGCTGATGAAGGCGCGGCCCATCAACCGAGCTAGGGCGCACCTCTCCCCCGTGGCGGTAAGGAAGGCGCTGTCGGGCACCGGCCTGAGATCCGCCAGCCGAGCGAGGTGCCTGTGCGGGTGGAGTATCAAAATCACACGCTTTGGGGGGAGTGGATAGCTTGACAGGCGACGACAGAGGGTCTGTCTGTGGCACAATCTCGTCGGTCACATGTGGCCGATCGGCAGTCGTTGGCGGCAGTGAAGGACGCTCCACCGCAGCAGCAGCCCGTCTGAGGATAGGAGGAATGCCTGAGCGGGGAGGGTGGTGCGGGCATCAGGCTCGCCGACTGCCGACGTGATCGGACGTCGCGGCGTGGCGGACACTCTGGGAGCTAGTCGTCTAGCCTTGTAGTCGTTGGGCAGCCGCAGCGGAGAATGCTGCCTATTGTGCATGTCGCCAGCCGCTGTGAGCCGACTGGGCCCGTGCCGCCCTGATCGCCGAGCGTGCGCACCGCTCCCACTCTGCGATGGACGCTGCGCTGCACTTTGGGCGCTCCTCCAGCTCGACGCACTCCACGCTTGGCAGCGCCTGGAGTGTGGCGCAAACCTCCCGGACGACGTCCAGCATGTGTGCTCGATCTCGTAACGACAACGGCGGGAACTCCGCCGAGCAAAATTTAAACCATGGGAATGGGACAACGGGGGCCCGCCACCACACACCGACAGGGAGGGGGATTTTTCTGATTTCTTTCGCGATGATGACACGCAATTCCCTCCCCCCCTCGGAGGGGGCCGGATGGAGGCGTACCCCGAGGGCCCCGCTCTTTCCTCGCATAGCGGCCACTCTTCGGATCGCTGGTCGAGCGACCCGGGGGATGCCCCGCGCGCCTGACCCAGGCGCGAAAACGAATCTGCGAGGCGTGGCCGCTCACGCGGCCCGATGGGGAGGAACGGGGCGAGCCCCCTCCAACCCACCCGCGCTAGGTCTCGGGGGACGCAGGGGTCAGCCCCGCGCGACCTCGGGAACTAGCCGGGGCAGTCGGAGAAGGGGCAACTCCGTGCACTGACGGTCGGCCGTCAGAAATCACGCCTGCGTGGATCGCGTCACACCAATCCTCGCTACCCAACGCGGCCAAAGGATATCCACCTCGTGAAGAGTTCCGAGAATTCTTTTGCCGAGGTCGCCCTGATCACGGCTCCATGCTGCCGAGGTCCCCCTGACACCGTTCCCCTCGGTTGCCCTTTCCGAGATCCGCCTCTCCTGGCAGCCCCTCTCGCCGCCCTCACCAGAGATTTGCCTCTCCTCGATGCGCCGCCTCTCTGGGTACCTCGGGCTCGCAGAGCTCGAGCCGGAGAGCAAGTCGCCTCCCGCGCCTCTCGTCGCTGCGCCCGCTCCAGCCGCCGCTGCTGGCGCTCCCGACTTCTCTCTCGTCTCCGACCCGGCTGGCGGCTATGCTGCAGCAGTCGGCGCCGGATCGAAGAAGGCACAAGCGTCCGCCGGCAAGGTCTTCGGCCTCGGCATCTTAGCGGGTACACACATCGGCTTCGGCGCCTATCTCGCCGTGGCCATCGGCGCCGCTTGCCCCGGCCTCCACGCCTCCAATCCGGGCCTCCAGAAGATGGTTTTCGGCGCATTCGGCCTGCCATTCGGATTATTCATGATCTCGATGTCCGGCGCAGAGCTTTATACGGGCAACGCGGCCCTCGTGCCGATGGCGTGGCTGGAGGGGAAGGCCACCGCCGCTCAGGTCGTCCGCAACCTCGGAGGTGTACTGCCCGCCCCGCTGCCAGCCTCTCCCACGCCATCAATGTCTCCCGCCACATTACCCCTCTGCCCCCACTCTCCAGAGCCTGATGGGGCAATTTACAGCGCCCCTCTGCCCCCACACTCCACAGCCTCGTGGGCCGGCAACCTGCTCGGAAGCATCCTCCTCGCGGCGCTGGTGACTGCCGGCGGCACGCTCGGCGAGGCGGCCGCCGCTCAAAAGATTGCCTTCGGAAAGACGCACGAGCCGCTGCTCGTCGTCCTCGTACGCGCCGTCCTCTGCAACTGGGTTCGTCTTGTATGGCCACGTAAATGTCCCCTCCAGGCCGAAGGACATTGACCGGCAAAATTTGTCGCCAATTTGGCTGCCCATCTCTGTTTTTAGTTCCGATTGGGGCATGTATCACACCGGGTGGCATTTTCATTTTAGCCTGGCCCT